TTTTTTTTGAGACAAATCTCGCTCTGTTGCCAGGCTAGAGTGCAGTGGCATGATCTCGGCTCACTGCAACCTCCGACTCCCTGGTTCAAATGATTCTCCTGCTTCAGCCTCCCAAGTAGCTGGGATTACAAGCACGTGCCACCGCACCCAGCTAATTTTTGTATTTTTAGTAGAGATGGGATTTCACCATGTTGGCCAGGATGGTCTTGATCTCCTGACCTCGTGATCCTCCCACCTCAGCCTCCCAAAGTGCTGAGATTACAGGCATGAGCCACGGTGCCCGACCTTTTTTTTTTTTTAAGAGATGGAGTCTCACTCTGTTGCCCAGGCTGGAGTGCAGTGGTGCGATCTTGGCTCAGTGCAACCTCTGCCTCCCGGGTTCTAGCAATTCTCCTGCCTCAGTCTCACAAGTGGCTGGGACTATAGGTGTATATCACCTCACCCAGCTAATTTTTTGTATTTTAGTAGAAACAGGGTTTCACCGTGTTACACAAGCTGGTCTCAAACTGAGTTCAGGCAATCCACCCGCCTCGGCCTCCCAAAGCGCTAGGATTACAGGTGTAAGCCACCGTGCCCGGCCTATATGGTACCGCTTTAGGAACCAGCCCTGGTTAATCAGACACATGGCTTTCATGATACCTTTGCTTGAGTAGCTTAATAACTCAATAAATCAAAAGATGAATAAATATTATATGTGTGAAGATACTCTAATAGATAATAGGCAATTAAGAATGGACATTCACGGCCGGGCACTGGGGCTCATGCCTGTAATCCCAGCACTTTGGGAGGCTGAGGCAGGTGGATCACGAGGTCAGAAGGTGGAGACCATCCTGGCCAACGTGGTGAAACCCCATCTCTGCTAAAATACAAAAAATTAGCTGGGCGTGGTGGTGGGTGCCTGTATTCTCAGCTACTCGAGAGCCTGAGGCAGGAGAATCATTTGAACTTGGGAGGCGGAGGTTGCAGTGAACCAGGGTCGTGCCACTGCACTCCAGCCTGGTGACAGAGCGAGACTCTGTCTCAAAAAAAAAAAAAAGAAGGGACATCTACTGAAGGTGATGCATCATCCTACCCATTCATTAATCTAACTCCCTACAGGTTACTTCCCTAGGAGACACTGACAGGTCTCTCTTTTCTGAAATCCAGAGAAAGGCAGCAATGGGGAGGGGTGCAGTGTATGTGTGTCATACCTGTGCTTGGTATATCTGGGTTGCCTGTGTATGATAGCAGCTGGGGAATCAAATCATAGGTAAATTATTCTCCTACAGGTTTGTCCTATGACTGCCTATTCTTATTAAGCAATTGGCTATATTGACCCTTTTTGATTTTGGAAAAATAATAGTAATTTTTTTAAGAGAGAAAAAGAAACAACTGGCTATGCTTCAACAGTGATATTAAAACCATTTAACATTCTTTAGCAGTGGTAACTGTCCACTTACGTCTAACTATGTGCAGGTTGAGAAAAAGTACTGCCTGAGTTATAGATGATCCTGTGGGAATAAGAAATCATTGCTTTTTTAACACATGAGGTAAAAGTAATCTCAAAGTTCACATGCTGATGGAGACTCCTGGCAAGGGGAGTTCCCTACCCTCAACAAAATGTCATCCACAGCTACTGGAAGATTTTTGTTGTCTGAGAAGTATAAAGTGCCTTAGAAATACCTGAATCCATTAATGCCTCCAACTGGTGAAATCAAAATTTGCAGGTGACTGAAATTGACAGTAGTGCCTTGTTTTGGTTCACTGTTCAAATGACAACCCACATGTTTTATGGATTGGGTATATAGATGTATGCTCTAACAACAAAATCTCCCTCCAGAGCCACTGTGTACTAAGCACCAGGTCCTCCAGCGATAGTTGGCTGTATTCAGTCTTTCATTCATTCAGCAAGAGCTTACTAAGCTCCTTTTTGGTACCAGACACTGTTTGGTGCTGAAAATAAATAAAAGGCCAGCAAGATTAAGTAGACTGTAAGATCTGGACCAGTAATTTGACAACACAAAGTACTGTTGCAAAGATACAGTTTCTGATGTGTAGTGACCATTCTCTATGAAAGCTTAGTCTTTCAGGAGATTAAAATGGGTGGTGAAATTGTCATACCTAGCAAGCAAGCAAGGTGAAATGAGTGGCTATTTGACTCCCACCTGCTGATGCTGGTCTTTTTTGGTTCCTAGGGGTTATAATGATCAACATTTCTTGAGTCCTCACTATATTGTATGCTAAGCTCTTTATATGTACGAATTTACTTAATCTTCACAACCACCCTAAGAAGTAGGTACTGTTGTCCCTACTTTACAGATGAGGAAATGGAAGCACAAAGAAGTTAAGGACCTTGCCGAAGATCATTGAGTAGAGGCAGGATTCAAATTTAGGGAACCCAGCCCACAGTCCATTCTCTTAAAGATGTTACATACTGTCTCTGGGCTTAGAAGGGTTCATTTTAGGTCAGACACGGTGGCTCACGTCTGTAATCCCAGCACTGGGAGGCTGAAGCAGGCAGATCACGAGGTCAGGAGTTCGAGACCAGCCTGACCAACATAGTGAAACCCCATCTGTACTAAAAATACGAAAATTAGCCGGGCATGGTGGCAGGCGCCTGTAGTCCCAGCTACTCAGGAGGCTGAAGCAGGAGAATTGCTTGAAGCCAGGAGGCAGAGGTTGTGGTGAGCCGAGATTGCGCCACTGTATTCCAGCCTGAGTCACAGAGTGAGACTCTGTCTCAAAAAAAAAAAAGACGGCTGGGCGCAGTGGCTCACGCCTGTAATCCCAGCACTTTGGGAGGCCGAGGTGGGCGGATCACCTAAGGTTGGGAATTCGAGACCAGCCTGACCAACATGGAGAAACCCCATCTCTACTAAAAATACAAA